TTGCTAAGGGTACATTCGATCCCCTCGTCCAAATCATCAATGAAGATGTTAAACAGAACTGGCCCCAACACTGAGCCCTGAGGAACACCATTTGTGACTGGCCACCAACTGGATTTAGCTTCATTCACCACCACTCTCTGGGCACGTCCGGCCAGCCAGTTTTTCACCCAGGGAAGGGTATGCCTGTCCAAGCCATGAGCTGCCAGTTTCTCCAGGAAACATCTGGTGATGCTTCAAAGATGTTTTCTTTTTTCATCTGAAGTGCCTTCCTAAATCAACTAACTGCTTTGGACTCCACATCTAGTCTGTGTGCCATCTGTGCTAATAAACAGCGGATCTTTGGACATTTGAGCAACCTGATGTGGTGGAAGGTGTCCCTGCCCGTGGCAGGAGGGTTTGAACCACACAATCTTGAGTGTCCCTTCCATCCCAAACCATTCTATGATTCCATGATTCTATGATTTCCCAAGGTGTTTAAAGACCACTGCATTATAGTTTACAAAGACCACAAAAAACTAATTAGATGTATTATCTAAAGTAAAAGAGGAATTTGTTTACTAAATCTGTTGTTGGAGAAGACTTTCTAACATGCTGGGGTTTGTATTACTTGTGACCTAAAAGCACTACAGTTAGTACATTACTGCATTCTGCCTTGCTAGAAGTCAGGGCCAAATTACAGGCTAATTTGGAATTCCCAAACTTTGACTCTTGACAGAAGAAAGAATGAATGGGAAGACAGTATCTTAAAACACTCAGAAGGAAGAGTGAAAATTATGTCACAGCATCCTGTTCACTGCCAGGGATCTTTCACCACTTTGTTTATATATATTTTCAATTATAGCACTGGCTATCTCCATTCAGGTAAAATTCCCAAGGGAGACTGATGGGATTTGATAGAAAAGAAATTAACCTAGAATTACAGGGTATAATGCTCATAATCCGTCTTTTGGCGTGGAGTTGAGCCGGGAAGTTAAGGGTAAGCCTTTGACCAGATGTCTACTGTTCTCCCACTAGATCCTTATCGTAAACCTCCAGCTTAGACAGAGAAAAGTACCAAGATGCTGCTGTACCGGAGCCATCACTATTTCATCAATGTAGTGGATAATACACAGCTTATATGTCTCTGGGGACTGAAGGAGGCAAAGGACTTTATGAGGACAAAGAGGAGGGGATGTAATTTGGAAAACGAAAGGAAAATATATACTGAGAAAGGAATGGATGCTGTTTGGTCAGGACACAGAGCAGGGTGGATGAAGCAAATGCAAAACCAGGAAAAATCTTGCCTTCTGAAAGAATAAGCAACTTTTTTTATTTTTCAAATTTTTGTATCTTTATTTAATTTCAAATTCTCCATTACTGAGTCTCTCTTCAAGACTACATAAGCTGGATAAAAGAAAATGTATTTTGGTTTTGTACTACAGGAATAAGTTCCCATGACATGAAATCTCTTGCTCACAATAGAATTTTTTTTCTCTCATCTTGTTTCCCAAGGCATCTTTGAGATAGTTATCAATAAATAACAGACAGTAACTGGCTAAATAGTCTGTTACCTACTTTTCCTTCCATCATTTGGTGAAAAATCCGTACAAACTACATATGACAGTGCCAGCAGAAGAAAATACCACTTGTTTCACTGAGACAGATGCACACTGCTAAATATATATTTTACAGAACTGTTGGTTTCTAAATTCATAGGACTCATTTCCACTGCTTCTCAGTGGCTCTTTCTCATCTCCCATGTCATTGTCTTTCATCTGTGCAAAATACGCAGGAGAAGCTTTGCATTCGTAATGCCTGTCAAGAGATTTCAAGTGGATCAACATATGAAGAGCATAGGCAAGAACCAGCAGCAGAATCAGTGACATAACCAATCCCATGAGTATGGCTGGAGAGAAGAGGGATGCACAATCTTTCGCGTAGGCAAAATGTCCCTCTTGAATGTTAAAACCTTGAATCTACAAAGAGAACAAAAGGGCTTATATTAAATAAAGTACTTGCGTCTCAGTTACAAACAACTTTATTAATTTGCTCCTGATGGCAGTAAGAATTTTTAATTTAATACCTGCATATTGCAAATTTGTGTCTATCAGTGCTAGCTGGAGTTAATGCTCAGAGCTTATCCAGGTCAGTCTTCTAGAAACCGACAGTTGTTCTAATCCCCTTCACTCTGCTGCCTAAAGGATTTGCAGTTATGTTTGAAACAAAATCTTCCATGACCACTCTTGATTGCCTAGTAATATTTAATTGCAAGCATGGTACCTTTCAAGTTAATGGTGCATTTCCAGCATCATTTGTTGAGAATCTCTAGAGTCTCTGTTTCAAACTGCATAAACTTCAACATGACAAACAAGGAAACATTCTCAATTGCCTACCATAATATTAGATTTTTCTCACCAGATCCAAATGTGTGGTATATGGCAGCAAATCAGTTAACTACATGAAGTTGCATTCAACTATGGCAAATACCAGTAACTTTTATTTGTGGCTGCAGTTCTACCATGCAGTTTACCACATCGGCATTCAGGGAATTGACTGTCTGCTCTATGAAATTGGTCCATGAGCATTTATCACATGGTGAGAAAAAAGGGATCAGTTTTTTCCCTCAATCCCCTTTTTCAGCTCTTCATGCCGTATGACTTAGGTATCTAAAAGTAAGACATTCTAGTCCAGATATCTTAGGCTCCCTTATTGTCAAACACAGAAAAATAAGCACTTTCAGAAGATTATTAATCTCATCCTAAAATAAGGACTTAAGATGAGTCAGGGGAATTATCCACTGGCTTTAGAGGCAGGCTGGGGTGACTATACTCAGGACACAAGGTTAAAATTACAACACATCAAAAGTTAAGTGAGATGAATCCCATACTTGGTGACTGATGCTGTTATTTAAGCTGGGTTTCAATAGAGAGAGACCAGCTCAGAGAGATGTCACCAGAAAGTTAAATTCATTCCCCACACTAAAGGGAAACTCAAGCAAAAGACTACAAAAAATCTATATAGCCCTTCATTTCTTTTGACAGGAAGGTAAGTATAATAATTTAAGTTTTCACTTCTATTTCAAGTTCCATGGAGATCCTGTAAACTGTACATGGAAGGTCATTATACCTTCTTGGTAGTGAAGTATAAAATTTCCCGTCAGTCTGCCTATGGGATCTATTTGGCTTAAGTCCATGACATTACCTGGAAATCAATAAAAGTAACTTCCCAAAGCTTTGAAAGATCATTTGCAGAGCTGGGTATGAGAAGTGCATCATATCTCTGTAAGCTGCTCACATGTTCACAGTGGTAGGAGTAACTTGCTGGTGCATGTATTCTGGTTGCATTAAACGTTGCTTGTATGGAGTGGTTGTAAAGAAGTTGCAGTCTGTGTAAACTGAACCAGTTCTGAACAGACACCTGGTAATAGCTGGCTCTTAATAAAAATCTGAAAATATTGCATGGGAAGAAAGATGAGTAAGAAAACAAGTGTAACTAAGAGCTGCAACTACTAAATTCACATGTTGAACAACCTCAGAAGACACAGTGATACTACCAGAGTTTCACCCATTTATGTAAGTGTAAGCTCTAGCTCCTCCTATTGAGTCTGGAAAGTGATTTGAGGTTCTTCATTGTTGCAGCTGAAGGAGTTTGCTGCTGTCTTACACAGTGAGAGGAAATGTGAGGGATTTTTCCTAAATGACTGAGAAAAATCTATATGCAACTTTGGTATGGTACTTCCATCCAAGATACGGAAAATTATTTATCAAGAAATGCTGTTTTCTTCTATCACCAAGAAGCAAACATACAGCTGGTCAGTCTGATGCCTGAGCAACCTGTACTGTCAGTTCTTGTGGCAAAATTCTCAGACAAAAATTTAGCAAGGACAAAAAATAGCAAGGTTTAGCAAAAATCTCAGACATGGGAAGATTCTAGTCAAAAGAGATGACCCAAACTTTTCTCATTAATAGAAAAGTCAAAATCGAAGAAGAAATGCCTTAATAAAACAAGGCGGGCATATGAGAGACCTGTTAAATGCAGGTGTCTCGATTATACAATCAACAGTTTCTATCACATTATTTTTGCTTACACAAATTCTGCTAAAACAAATTCCACAAGCAACTGCATAACAATGTATATTAACATGTGATTATCTAATCTTTTCTTTATCTTATAAACTTACCTAATAGCAAGTCCCTTTAGATTGCCAATGTCACCAAACTTCAGAGAAAGCCTAAGTCAAAAAGCAAGTAACGTCAGGCTAGTGTGCAGCACAAAAGATTAAGCCCAGTTATTCATGAAACCTTTTGCTCAGTATACCTTTGAAGGCAGTGGGAAAAAACCCTGAAACTATTATATCTTCCTCTAGTGAAATCCAGTAGTTCTCCTGTTAATTTGAATGAGGTCTAGACTATCCAGAAAGAACAGAACTGCATGTTTAACTTTCAACACAGTTCAATCCCACTGCTTCCAAAATTAGTTGGCAATTAGGTCCATTTGATTTGTGTTCTCCTTCTCAAGCCATGACATCTTAGTCATGTATTACCTCTGTATGTCATCAGAAAGTGTAAACAGCAATGTTATTCTCATCTCTTTTAATACCAGAGCATAAAAAATGCAGATGACATTTGAGTTCAAATTTCATACATGTATCATTAGAGCAATATAAATACACTGACCATGAGATAGCTCTACAAGTTCATCTGCAGTAAGCATGGGCACTTGAAGTTCACTAAAGGGAAAGGTCCCAGCAGGTTAATTGTAAACTAAGGCATACTCTACCATCCTTCTACCATCTCTGGAATTAATGCATTGTAGCACTGTATGATTAAGTGGTGTATATTTTTTTGGCTTAACAATAATATTTTGCCTCTTAAAACCTGCATAATAGATTCTCACTGCTGACGTAACCTTTTCAGACTAAGTCAGAGACAAAACAGAGGGAAAACATGCAGCATCTGAAAGACTTCCAAACTTAAAGCTGAAGAATATTTTAAAAAAACAGCTACACCTATGATTTCATAGGAGATCTAGACTGCTTCTTGTACCTCGACTAACATTGGTCCAATAAGCCAGGACACTGAATCTAGACTATCCTTTGCTTTATTACAAAGGGAAATCATAGATAGTTGATGATTAGACACAGGCAAATATGGCATTCAACTCAGTGGCCTGATCCAGGAGTTGGCGCATAGAAAAAACGCACAGGTTGGATTATTATATTCATAGAGCAAATGCATATGTGTTTGGTGTTAAGTATTTTTTCCAGCTACTTTGCACTGATTAGACAGTATAAACCAGCTTGAAAGCTGGCCTAAAGCCACAACAGAGTATTGTCTTAACAAAGAAAGCTGGAGAAGGGAGAAATTTAAGGCACTTTTCTGGGACGAGGAAAACTGGGCAATGCAACACATAAGCACTCAGCCATCAACTGGCATAATTTAGGTGAGTCCTTAAACCTAAGCTTACAGAGCAACATTCAAGCCAATTTTTGCCTTTCTTCTCTGCTACAGTCAAATGCAGGTTGACTGAAAATATACCCACAACTCATATTTGGCAATTACGCTGGGCCTAATCCTGACTCATGAGCCCAAATTATCCATTTTCCTACCCATAGAGCATGATTTCTACATACAGGGACCTTGGTCAGTACTTAGATGTTGTCAGTGACAGTGAATGAATGAATACTTGAAACATACAGTTTCTAATTACTTGATACATGGAATCTAGCAGAGAGGCCACAGATCTGTTCATGCAATCTGTCAAACATCCTGACCAAATCCCTCCTAGCGAGAGCTCAGAATAGGAATGCCCTTTCTTGGTTAGGATTCTGGAGCACATTCAAAAGGCAGGAGCCAGTGGGAGTAGTACTTCTCAATGTATCCCAAATAAGCAAAGTATAGAACATGCAAGAAAGCAAAACCATTGGGAAGGGGTAGCAATTTCCTCTCTCCACAGAAAAGAGGAAAAAATGCTCAGTAGTCACAGTACATCTCTTGATTCCAGAAAAAACATGCCAGCCTCAGCTTCAAACTAAGCATCAAGGTCCTGCCTGCCTTTAGCAGCTGTGTCCCTTGTTCGAGGTTACTCAGAAAACTATGAGAGAAACAAAGAGAAAGATCAGAAGACATGGCAGAGAAGATGGCATTGTATCCACAGATTTTGAGATCAAACCTCAGATACAGTACAACATTGATAAAAAGGCAGGTCAAGTGTATGCTGTAGAGTAGTTCTGCTTTGTGACTCTTCCTGCAGCTTTTTTAATGAATAATGCATTCTATAAATTCCCAAATATCTTCCAACATAACGCATCAAGCAGAATATACAGCTCTGTGGTAGGCTGACCCCAGCCAGCAGCTAAGACCCATGCAGACACTCACTCTGCCCCCTCCACCCCACAGCAGGACAAAGGAGAGAATAGGAAGAGCAAAAGAGAGAGAACTCATGGATCAACGCAGAGCTTAATAAGTGAAGGAAAGAGGAAAAAAAAAAAAAAGACCAAAGTTTTGCAAAGGTAATCACTGACCATCTCCCACAAGCAGACCAATGCCCAGGAAATCTCTGAGCAATGGCCACCCTGGAAGACACAACCCCTACCCACCTATTCTTCCTCTACCCCAGTTTTTATTGGTGAGTATGACGTAATTATGGCAGGGAATATAACTTTTGCCAACTCAGGTCAGCTGTCCAGGCACTGTCCCTTTCCATTCTCTTGCCAACGTCAGCCTACTTGCTGTGGGGGCAGAGTGACAAACAGAGAAATCCTGGATGCTGTGCAAGCACTGCTCAGCAAAAGCCAAACAAAACATGGTCTGTTATCAACACTGGTTTTGCCACAAACCCAAAACTCAAGAGAATTATCTCCCTCCCAGCCACAGCCAGGAGAAGTCCTAATTTCTTGGAACTCTGTATTTACAGAGTGAAGCATCCACTACTGTAACCAGACTACAGAGGTACCAGTGACAGGTAGGTAGACAGAGTAGCCTGCTCAAATCTAACAGTCTCCAAACAGCAGCTCCAGTAGGAGTTTGCAATCCACCATTGCACTTTTTGATTTTTCAAGCCTTACAAACAACTATAAAACTATGCTACATGTTTTGAAATCCTTATTTTTGCATAGGTATATTTTCTGTTAGTTCATAATCATTGTTAATAAGACTAAAATTATTTCTCAATTGCAGACCAGAAGAGAATAAGGAATGTTAATACTTTTTATTTTTAAAATCATATTATTCTATTCTCTGCCTCTGCCTGTCAAAATGTAGTGCTGGATTAGTTCACATGCTGATGATGTAAAATTCAGACTGCCTTTTTGAATACTATGATAACACAGCCAGAAAACCTGGCTTCTTTTTAAACTATACTTTTAGTTTTCTTGTAACCTCACTAAAACCTCACCTTGTGTTATTCTTCACAGAAGCATAATCAGGAAAAGGTAACACCTACTTTCTGTGGAAACATATTTAGATGTACAGGTGAAATGTTGTATAGGAGCTAAATAAAACTGCTGGGTTTGGTCATGTTGTTTTTACTGTTGTGTGTCATTACAGATTTAAACATCATTTATGGGGTAGAATCAACACTCATGTTCAGCACATGCCCAATTAGTTATCCACCTCCTAATTTTTAGACTCTTGCCTACCAGAGTGAAATCAATGACCTGGCATCAGACATGAAACAATCCAGCATACTACATGGAGATTGAGAAGTGGTCAGGTACATGGCAAAGGAAATTATAAAAAAACTACATGGCTTTCCTGTATAGCCATGAGATTGGAGGATTTTGGATCCAGTTAGGTTAATATATAGCTCTCAATCTGGTTTAGCAGGAGCAAAGCTGCTAAATGCTATTAATGCTGAAGAAAGTCATGACAGACTGGGATGTAGAGTTCAGGTTTTTGGAGGCTCTTCAGGTCACGTGCAAACCTGTAGTGAATTCACTCTTGGGCTTCTGTAACTCATGTATCACATCCTGGGACTTGGGGCTACCTAACTCTGTTTCTAAATACACATCTGCATCCAGTACCAGTGGTTTACAATATTGTTGGCAGACATCCTATGAAGGGACAAGTAGTCATGCACAGCCACACCCCAATCCCCCGTATTCAGCATAGGATCCACTATTCAATCTCCCAAGCAGCTATGTAAAACAGCTGGAGACTGAAGAGATCAACAGCTTCAGCCTCAGAGCCACTGAAAGTAACGCTGGCTGGCCACAAGGATTGACTACACCGCTGCAAGAGATGAAGACAGCTATGTACATCTATGTGCCCCACGAAAGACTGGTCTGAAAGTATATAACCCATGCTGTCCTGTTGCCTGCAATGTCAGGACATCATAGGAAGGAGTTTGCCCTGGGGGCTCTACACCACATACTACAAGGTCTGTTTTCCTTCATTATGTATTTACTAGACTTGTTATCTGGGACTAGTTCCATTGGCAGAGTAGAATACCACCTTACATTGCATTATCTTCACTGCAGTTTGAATCTCCAACATCCACTGTTGCATGGACACCAAATGTCTTCTCTGTCAAATCCAGCTGTGTGTGGTTTTCAAACTTAATCGTGATCCTCTTGGCCCAGAAGAGAATGCAGGGGATGCCATTAATCGTGACGTTGAGAGGGCTGTAGTGACTGTGGGTGAACGGCCTCCAGGATGCTCTTTCCCACTGTCCCTTCCTGCTCAAGTTGTAGCTGACAACCTGATTGACCACATAAAAGATCAGTATCAGAAGATGTGTATTTCAGGGGTTACTCTCCATCCTACCAGAATAAATGAGACCAGCACTTGGAGAGCATCTGTGAAGCCAGTTCTTAGCTGCAGCAGTACTGAACTGAGGAAGCACAGAAATCTCTGGCTAACCCCTTCCCACCATGGGAATGGCACCACACAGACCTCTAGCTCCAGCACAACTGGCCAGAAAGCCAAGTTATATTTATTCTACTAGAGTAGTATCACTGAGGCAAACCATATTCTTACCATGATCCCATCTCACCCTAGCACACTGTAGAGCTGCCCAATATAAATAGTTGAAGCAAAGCTGGAATCACAAGGTACTCACCCCAGCAGAAGACTCTCTAGGACACCTGTAAGAATTACTTCAACACGCTAAAGAGGACTTGGCTTGGGCCAATGACACAGCCTACCATGCTGAAAGCACACTAGGCAGCTGTCCAGGTGAAAGGACTGTCCAAGTCTACATCCACCTGCAGATAGTTTGGCTCCTGATGGCTTTAAAATCAGGAAAATGCATGCTGCAGGACAGGATGGCTCAAGTATGAATCCCTATCTTTAGAAAGTCAGTCATTCGCAAGATTAAAACCTCGAGACTGCAGCTTCCATATCATCTGTAGATATTAGAAAAATGCCATCCCTTCTAAGCCAAATTTCACACCAAAAGGAGGACAATTTGGCTGTCAGGCAATATAATTTGAGACACTGAGTCAGGGCTCAGAAAGCACTTAAAAATATAACTTTCATTTCCATATTTCAAAGGAAAATTTCCAGACACCAGCTCTCTTCCACCTGCACATATGTCCTGTCTGAATATGATAATGTATACAATGCCTGCATAGCTGTTTTGCATGTAATGTGACTAAGCAAGTTCAAATCATGTACAAACAAAAAAGGTATTCTGAGTCCCAGTCATAAACAGCATCTTACCAGGCTCCAGAAGGGATGCGGTTAAGCCTCAAAGCTTTGTCTTGGCTTAAAGAGAGATTTTTTTTTGCTGTTCAGATTAGCGAATCATGTCTCCCAGCTCAGACCCTGAAAGACCCCTTTTGATACTTGACCTTACATATGGCACAAGACTGCTTTAGGATTAAAATCAGTAAGTACTCACAGCAATAAGCTGAAAGCAAGGTAAGATCATGGTCAGAAAACGTGATGCAACAGCCAGCAAGAAACGTTCACTACGACTGTCATTTGTATAAATGATAAGGTCATCTTCCCAGAAGTACAGATGAGAGAGATTTAATCAACAGAGTATTTACATTAGATTGCATCACTTGCAGGGTTTTTTGTAAGGAAGAACTTTGTGCTCAGTTTTCGACAAGGCGCACAGGCTGGACTCAGGAAAAACTCCAGCTAAATTTAAACAACCTGCAATTTTGCTTCAGCTACTCTTTTAGTACAAAGTGATACAAGCAAAATACTGGCTGCAGCAATTGAATGGCATTGTACAGAATATGGATGATAAGATTTGGTTCTTTCAGTAAGACCAGTGTGCTCAAACCCACTGTCAGTCAGCACCAGCAATGGCAATTGAAGTCTCACCTCACTTCTCAGAAGAGCAGAAGGTATCTTGTAGAGCAGGTAGTGAATCAGTACCATATCACAACGATTTAGACAGTTTTGTTGGCTATTTCTTATCAACAATGTATTATTTAACTCAATAGTGCAAATTGAAAGATCTAAATGTGTGATGAAAAAACTTTACAGATCCAGTCCTTCAAACATTACCTGTGTAATTGCTACTTGATTTACATTAAATTTTGGCTTCATATCACTGTCATAATGTTGACCTGTAGAAGAAAGTATGTTATTAGCCTACAAAGAAAACATACAATCATTTATAAAAGCATAATCTTCCATCTTCTTATGCACATAATAATTATCCCTGCATGAAATGTGTATTTCAGAATGCTTGATCTTCTTTTGGAAAACATTTGGCTTGGTGCAAATATTCCCTTGAACACATGCATTTTCTAGTTTACTTTACCTTACCTGTACAAGGTTCCTCTTTTTTTCATTGAACATCTTGCCACCCTTACTGAGAAGAACCCCAGTGCCCAAAAATGTCAGGATTCAGCCTATACATGTATTTATTAATCCCAAACACACTTAACAAAAGCTTCTTCCTTCGTCATACAGCAAACGCTATTGTCAAAGGGTGTGTGTTGAATCGCATAGCAAAAGGATGTTAACTATGGGTGGGAATTTCTTTCCCTGCACTGGCCAGAGATGGGAAGCTGTGACAAATAACCTGATGGCCCAGCTACTTGCTAGGAGAGTGAAGTTTCACAGATGACAGATCATTTCACGGACTCTCTCACAGGTCCATCCTTCAAAACATTTAACTCTGTTTTCATTTGGTTAAAAAAAAAAAAAAGTGAATACTTCTTTCTTCTTTCTTCCACATTCTTACTGTATCTTAGAGTCAGTCAGTCAATGATTATTTTAACCACGCAAATCCTTTAAAGGGTAGTTTTTAAAGAGGGATATGCTTTAACAAAACATTTGACAGAAGAGTCACTAATGCCAATAGAAGCAACATCTGGGAATGAAGATCTTTTACATCCACACTAACAAAACCAGTATCCAGGCATTCAGCCCATGCCCAAGCCTTACCATTTCTTTGCAGAGAATCTTGATCTGAAAACACAGGTGAACTAGAAGAGAGGAGAAAAATATTTACTGTACGCATCTGGATTTAAAGTCTGCAACAAGTTTACCAGGGAGAGCTCCTGTTCCTGCTTCATTCAATAAAACATTCAAAATGTAACTCAGAGCCTTGGCTAGTGAATGTCACAGGAACAGGGCAAATTGATCCCAAAGCCAATGTACCCTTGATAAAAACGCCTCATTTTCAAAGATCCATCATCAGGTGGATCAGCCCCACCAGGCATTCCCATACCCTTACCATATTGACTAAAGGCTTCGCTACCCCTCTTGATCCTTTCCATGAGGACGTCATTTTTGGGTTAGAAGCTGAACCAATTCCAGCCCACAAGCAGGGGAACACAAGAATAGCGCTTCACTGTCCTCAGCCCCCAGTGAGGATCAGAAGCAACAGATTGAATTGCTCTAGGACAGAGCGAATGCACTGGGCTAGTATGCCTTAAACCCAGATTAACAGCCATCTAAAGACACCTCCTGAATGGATCCAAGCAATCCCAAATCCCACAGAAGCCAGCTGCAAGGTAGGGTTCAAATGAATCACATCTCAAGTGACAGCTACTAGGCTCGTGAAACTCTCAGCCTTTGATTTTCTTCTTTGTTATAATTTAGGGATAAATCTTCAACTGGTCTAAGTATGATCTGCTTTCCTGAACTAGAGAAACAAGTCCAGTAGATTCACGTACATCACCAAAAGACCTACATGATGAAAGCCCAAGAAACCAGACTCCACTCCTTGAGTCACAGGAACACCTTCCTGCTCGCTCCACACCACAGGAGCTTCCTCGGGACCTGCACCCCCTACAGTGGAATGATCTACTGATCTGATGACCACTTCTCAAGTCTGCCATCAGCGTTCCCCAGCAGGTCAACACACTAGCACTCCTGCACTCACAGCTGGTTGTTGCCCCACAGAGACTCTGGACACCCTGCCCTACTTCTGCCTGCACAGTGCCTTGCTGGCCCTAAGGGACAATGGGGCCAGACCTGCTTCACAGGCACTTCATGTGGAAATACACTTCCATCTTCGTTTCTTGCCTTGTTGTTTACCACCTTTCCAACCCACCACTGAAGCAAAATACTTGAAAAGACATACACAGAGACCAGATATAAGGACTAGGAATAAAAGCAGTTTTCAGTGTTTCTGTGTAAATTGTACCGTAAGGTATTTGAATTGCAGTGTCAAGCCTTGGTCTCTCTGGGGAGCCCTTGAACAGCTGGGTAAACCCACTCCCTAATGGACTCTCTGGGTAGGGGGATCTGTGCTACAGACTAGCATGTACTGCCAGAGTAATCCCAACCTAAATACTTATTACGGAATCCTCAATGGCAAGTAAATAGGAGTCCAAACAACATAATGCCATCAAAGGAGAAACATGGGCTGGCTTAGAGCCTGCCTTGCTTGCTGCCATGCCCTTGCGGCTCTGGCAGTCAGAAAGTTTGATCACACTGAACCTGACTTGCCTGAAACCCATGGCAATGTTACCAGCTTCTGCAAAGCCCAGATTTCACAGGCAATGTCTTGTTTACACTACAGGTTCAGGAGGGCAGCAGGCTTTTTCTTCTGATCAGTGCTTCTCCAGCAAGAATGTCCTTTCACTGGCATACCCTCTGCTGCCACAAACGGATCTGTTGGGTCCCCTTGCAAACTCCTCAAACCCCAAAGGCAAAACAGACAAAAGTGAACTTCTGGCTTCGTGACTGGTGCCATCATGAGGGCTTTGGCTTTTATGACAACAGGACATTCTTTGATGGCTATAACCTACTAGAGAGGGATGGAATCCACCTGTCAAGAAGAGGGAATGGAATCTTGGGCAGCAGGCTGGCCAACTTGGTGAGGCGGGCTTTAAACTGAAGGATTTGGGGGCTGGAGTCCAAAGTGGCAATGCCCATGCCATCACATCCAACTGGGGAATAAGCCAGGCCAACCAGAACAATGATAAGTGTTCCTCAGCTTCCTCTCAAGATGAGAACCAGGTGGCCAGCCACTATGGTGGATCCTCTTCCACCCACTCCAGGAAACCTCCATGCTGGATTACCTCTCTGAAATGCCTGTACACAAACGCAGGCAGCATGGGGAATAAACAGGAAGAATCAGAGATCTGTGTGAGGTCGCAGGGCCATGATCTCATTCCAATTACAGAGACATGCTGAGATAGCTCGCATGACTGGCATGCTATCATGGATGGCTATGTACTTTTTAGGAAAGACAAGCCAGGAAGGCGAGGTGGTGGAGTTGCGCTCTATGTAAGGGAGCAACTGGAATGTATCAAGCTCTGCCCAGGGGCAGATGAAGAACAAGTAGAGAGCTTGTGGGTAAGAATGAAGGGGGTGGGTAAGAATGAAGGGGCAGGCTAATATGGGTGACACTGTTGTGGGTGTTCACTACAGGCCACCTGCTCAGGAAGAGGAAGTCGATGAGGCCTCCTGCATGCAGCTGAAAGCAGCCTCACAGTCACAGACCCTGATTCTCATGGGGGTCTTCAACCACCCTGATACCTGCTGGAAAGACAACACAGCCAGGCACACATGGTCCAGGAGGTTTCTGCAGAGCATTGATGAGATCCTTTGGGCACAGCTGGTGGAGGAGCCAACAAGGAGAGGTGCTCTGCGGGACCTTGTACTAACAAACAAGGAGGGACTGGTTGGGGATGTGAAGGTTGGGGGTAGCCTTGGCTACAGTGACCGTGAGATGGTGGAGTTCAGGATCCTGCGTGGAAGAAGCAGGGAGGCCCAAGGGAGCTGGTTCATAATCAAGCACCACTTCCTCCAAGCTCAAAAACACTGCATCCCTAAGGGCAAGAAATCAAGCAAAGAGTGGCATGAGATGGCATGGATGAGCAAGGAGCTTCTGGAAAAACTCAAATGGAAGAAGGAAGTTTATGGAACATGGAAAAAGGGACAGGTCACTTGGGAAGAATATAGGAACACTGTCAGATTATGCAGGGATGCGATGAGGAAGGCTAAGGTCGACTCGGAATTAAATCTGGCAAGTCATGTCAAGGCAACAAGAAGGGTTTCTTCAAGTACACCAGCAGCAAAAGGAAGGCTGGGGAGAATGTGGGCCTGCTGCTGAACGAGGTGGGTGCCCTGGTGACAGAGGGTACAGAGGAGGTGGAGTTACTGAATGCCTTCTTTCCTTCAGTCTTTATGGCTAAGGCGGGCCCTCAGGAATCTGAGACCCTGGAAATAAGAGAGGAAGCCTGGAGAAAGGAAGAATTTCCCTTGGTCAGGGAGGATCGGATTAGAGATCACTTAGAGAAACTGGACACCCACAAACCCATGGGTCCGGAAGGGGAGGCGCCCAGGAGTGCTGAGGGAGCTGTCAGATGTTATTGCTGAGCCACTCTCCATCATCTTTGAAAGGTCATGGAGAACAGGAGAGGTGTCTGAGGACTGGAGGAAAGCCAATGTCACTCCTGTCTTAAGAAAGGGCAAGAAGGAGGACCCAGGGCACTAGAGGCCAGTCAGCCTCACCTCCATCCCTGGAAAGGGGATGGAACAGCTCATCCTGGATGGCATCTCTAAGCAGGTGGAGGAAAAGAAGGTTATCAGGAGTAGTCAACATGGATTTATCAAGGGGAAGTCGTGCTTGACCAACCTGA